GCCGGCTGGACATCGCAGGGGCTGCTCTCTCTCAGGGCTGTGGCTTACGGGAGGGCTGGCCCACTCAGCAAAGGCTCCGGGGGGTTGCTCCCAGCGGGGATCCCGGGGCTTCCCCGCATGGCTCCCCAGCCACGTGCGCCTGGGACGGGGCCAGCCCGGGAAAGGGACTTCCTGGCCGCCCTTCTCCCAGGGGGCGGGAAACCCGGGCGCAGGGCCAATGAGGAGCCCTGTGAGGGGGCAAGTCCCATGAGAGAGAGAGAGAGAGAGACAGAAGTGCAAGTGCAAGTGCCTCTGTCTCTGTCTCTCTCTCTCATGGGACTTGCCGGAGGGCCGTGGGAGGGCCGCATTTACATAGAGCAGGGAGGGCTGTTCGAGGGCCGGATTAAACCGGGCCGCGGGCCGCAAATGGCCCACGGGCCGGACTTTGGACATGCCTGGCTTAGGAGAAGGATGCCTATAGAACTGGTGATGCACCTCATTATAAGAAGATACATTTCAGGGGGAAAAAGAATAAGAAACATGTACTTAATATTGGTCCCTATTCTATATGTCTATGGAGATTCTCAGTCATTAGAATGTATATTAGTATACTAGCTGTACCCAGCCACGCGTTGCTGTGGCTCAGTCTGGTAAAAGCGTGTGTTGCTTTTACGTCCAACAGATGGTGCTGTTTTTCAAAAAAAGCATGTTTTTACCTGTCACGGGTATGACATCTATATAATATAGGTATATAAAAACACGTGCGTATTCGAATGCAATGTTGTGTCATAATTTCAAAGCAATCGGTGAAGAGCTTTCGGAGATTTAAGATTTTGAACAAATGAACATTTACATTTTTATTTATATAGAGATTAAGATTATGGAATAGGCATGTCCCAAAAATGCTTTTTTTCAAAAGGCAACTGGACTTTGTTTTTTCCTTGAAGACATTTTACTTCTCATCTGGGGAACTGAAGAAGCTTCTTGGAGGAGAAGCAAAACAAAGTCCACTTGCCTTTTGAAAAAAAGCATCTTTGGGACATGCCTATTCCATAATATACTCATAAATTAATGCAGAAATGGGATAGTTGTAGGATGAACATTTAGTGGGATCAAATTAGCTACTGGGCCACATTTCTTTCATTCAACTACAACGGTATCTCCGTACTCAGGGCTTTTTTCTCATAGAATGCCCAGAACAGAGTTCTGGCACCTTTTTTGGATGGAACCTTGTAGGGTAGGCAAGGCGGGTTGTATGACATGTGTGAGTTCCGGCACCTTTTTTTTTTTTTTTTTAGAAAAAAAGCACTGTCCGTACTCATCATTAATTGGTTCCAGGAGGCACAATTAATGGGAGTACGAGGAGTACTGAACAAATTTGGTAAAAATGAGGAGTACCGGGAAAAAAATTACCCATAAGGAATAAGGTAGTGAGTCACAAGGCAGCCAACACCGGCAAGTTCAAGCTTGTGCATCAAGTCCCAAACAAACGATGAGTTACCAAGACAAAAAAAAGTATCAGGTCAAAATATGTTGCTTACCAAATTTGATGGGTTTCAAAGCAATTGAGCACCAAGGTACCACTGCATCTTTCTTTCTGTCTTTTATTACTCGTTTCCATGATTAGGATGGAAAAGAACAATATAAGAGAAGAAGATGCTGGGGGTGTTCATTAAGTATCTGTAGGGAGTTGGCGATTGAGGTAGATATTTCATTTCTTTTATTAAAGAAGCTGAATATGTCTGTTATCTCAAAAAGGCAAATCTGTCTATAACAAGACCAAGGCCACCGATGGGCCCCCAGCCCCAAAGTCTTAGGTACCACCCTCAAGGTCTTTCAGCAAAAAACAAAACAAAAAACCAACGCTCATAGAAATGAATGGACTCACTTAACAACTACGATGTTCACTTAATGACTGCCGCAAAAATAAAGTTATAAAATCAGGTCCGTCGTGTGGGTGCCTCGACTTAACGACTGTCGTGACTTAAAATGGAAATTCCAGGCTTGGTAAGTCAAGCCTGGAATGATCTTTCTCCTTGCTATAAGATCCCAGTTAAAAGAGTAAAAAACAAAAGGGGAAATGTAGAGATGGGTAACAAACTGGAAATATTGGGGAAAAGACAAGATTTTTTCTATTTTTTTAAAACGCTTTTGGGAAAAAAGGGAAAAAACACTCCCCCCCCATTTTTCTGTTTCCCCCCCCCCAGGCCTTCCCATCTGTAGCAGGGGAAATATTTTGGGGGGGCACCATCTATCCATTCTGCAGCATCGTTCCTATATACTGTTCCCCAGCCATCCTTTAAAAACTGCTCCCCACGTGCTGCTTTAGTTGCCAATACTTGCAAAGCACCAATTCCTAGCTTGAAAGTTGTATTATTCTAAAAGGAGATCAATAATGCCCAAAGAGAGAGACAGGGTTTAAAAAGACAAGAAGAAAAGAGAGGAAAGAAAAAAGGGAGGGTGAGATGGGGAGAGAGAGAGGGAAGGGGAAAAAAGCTAAGATGTAATTTTGAAAGAGCGGAATGGAAAAACACCTAAGAATCCATCTTCTCACGTTGGACAGAAAAGCCATGATGGATTATTATAATTTTATTCAGATCTCCTTTTCTGTCTTTTCCCAGCTGTCTAACGAAAAGAATATTAAACGATACAGCAAAATTAAGGCTACAGATCAATGAAACGGACATA